CCTTACAAAGTATACCATGTATTTTTTTAATTACTACTTTTTGTGATCTATCGAGTTATGCATATTGCAGTAGCAAAAATATACGAAAGGAATAAATTACTTTATTCCATAAGCTGTTTTCGCTTGTTGTTTGGACACTGTAAAATTTCGTTGCTGAATTGACGTTCAGATCAAGTTATGAATTTTTTCTATTATGAATATTCATATTTTTTTTCAAATTAGGAAAGAGTCATAATCATATAAGATTGAGTTCAACAACAATTCTTAGTGTAATCGCTTTCAGATTGAATAATAATGGCTTTTTGGAAAGCATATTTTGTACCGGAAAATTTTTCTACTTGAACAAAGCTTGAGCTAAAAAATTAGTTGAACGTAGCGTATCGTTCCACCTTAAATGCTTAAATCACGTAGTGCGTCATGCCTGACACGGCTCTAATTTTTTATTGCAAATTTTTTTTGTTAGTAAATTATAATGAACAATGGTTAAATGCCTTGAGATACGATGCTGAACATTTGACCAGCACTTTCAAGTTGATGTACTTAATAATACCTGGAAATCATTTTTTATACAAACCTATGGAAATACTATGGTTAAATTTTAATTAGGAGCAAATAATTACTAATATCCCAGATTCAGTTCTTAAAATGATTAATCTAACACACAAATTATAATTGTTTACAAGTTGACAACAATGCTTTGCTTTTCTATTGAAAATTAAGCACTGAAAATGGGATTTAATGCATCCTTGCAGCAATATTATGAACTGAACTCTTAGAACGGTACTATAGTACTGTAATGAAAACTTTACATAATGTAAAATTAGAGAAATATGTACACATTGACAATATGCATATTGTTACTTCAGTTAATTTGTGCCCTCATGTCCTTGAACAACCATCCTTGCCATTGCTCATCGAAGCGAATCATAGAGGAAAATATATGTTGTAGAGAAGCTTATGAGCATTTTTTGTAAACAGCAAACTTACTGACCGTGTGCTGTGTCAATCGACGTACTTTTCAATGAATCCAATAAAAGCATTGAAAATATTGCATATACATTACACAGTTCACGTGTAAATTGTATACTTTGCCTATACTAAGTGCCATAACAAGGTCAAAACAGAAAGTGAGGGGTTGAACATTGCAACACTTGATGATCATTTTATAACTGAAGTACAGCTTAGACTTGGTAGTATGCGATGTGTATAGAGCATTTTATATATAAGTATATATTACTTAGCCGATACTATCATGGAAATTGAAAGTCATACATATGATAACATTGTAAATTCAAATAAACACAACGAAGTGATCGTAAAAATAGCCAAGTAATATAAGCAAAATAAAAAGTTGGTCTGGAAGATAAGTATGCAAAAAAATATGGTTAGACAAAATAGAAGGGTACGAATCGTGGACGCTGAAGCACGTAGGTGAGCAATGTGAAAATTATGATTCCAGTGCTATTAATCTTAGTGTTTTCTTGATTTTCAGTTTTGATACTTGAAAGGTAAGTTCAAGAGGTCAATCTGGGATATAAATCTGGTTTTTCGGTATATTAGAAGTTTATTCTCTATTTTGACTACAAAGTTGATTTGTGGTGCAAGCTTTGAAATCCTACATCGATAAGCGTGAGTAGACGCTAGTACTTGTTTAAATTCCCAAAAACTTCGATTTCATTATTATCATTATTAGTTGAAGTATTCAATAAAAAAAACATTAGATTCAATTTGTAGAAATTCCAGTTATCATCACTTAATTATAATAGTACTAAGGAGCATACTTGCAGTATTTAATTTGTGATTGTTCTCATTACATTCAAACTTTGATTATTTATAAAAACACGAAATGTTGTTAGAAATTACTTTATTTTTTCTTTGTAAATCTTAAATTTTTTAAATTTCAAATTTAATTTTGACCACTTTTTCCGAAATATAATAAGTATTCATAACATTGGCATAGAATTGTTGTTATATTTAGATAACCGATGATAATAATTTGAGCCGAATATAATTTATGATAATTGGAATTCCACAAGTTTATTTTAGAGTTTATTGATTAGTAATTAAAGATAAATAATCTGAACTCACTGATCATCACTAGCACTACAAGGGGCATCATTTTCTTGCTCTCAAACTCAGATCATAAAAAGTTAAATGTGTTTATCCATCCATTTATTCGAAGGGCAATACTCGATCAAACTTGTTGGCTGCAGACATTTTTGTTTTTTGTAATAATTTTTTAAGCATTATATACGGCTTTGCTTTTGCTTTTGTTCTTGGTCAGCTTGCCATTTTTGAACATTTGACTTGACTAAATTTGGTCAGTGCTAGATAGCACAGACTAGATAGCAAGTTAGCTACTATATTCCTATATTCATTAGCTTTCTAATATTTTATCAAAACTTTTCGTTTGAAAATTATTTTGTCTTAAAAAAATTCAGAAAATACTTACATTTAATTTTTGTAATAGTTTTTTGCTTTCTTACAAAATTATTATATTTTCTTGTTTGTATAATAAAAGCCTTCGCAATAATTTTTTAATTTATATGGGTAACACTTAATAATACACATTATAAATTTTTTATTTATAACATTATATCGTATATCGGTGTTACAGTGTCTATATTAAGCAGTACATTTCACGTTACACATACGTATGAATTGAATAATATAAAATGCTTAGTAATAATTTTCTGACAGTATTTTTGTTTGCTTCAGAACTTAAAGACTGAATACACTTCATCAGGGAATCCGATAAGATGACAACTGAAATGCAAGGGATTCTGGGACTTGATAAATTGGAAAGTAATTTTGACGCAAAAGCTTACTTGTGGGTAATGTGCTTCTAGTGCACATTTTATTTTATAGTAGCAAAATATATATATATATATATACATTTAATGTTCTGTACTGAATTTTTTGTAATATATGCCATACTAAAATATAATAATTTATACAATCTGCATTGAATTATTTGTAATTATTTACAGTATTAAAGTATACTACGAAGTATGTCATTCAGTACGCTAGATTGATTTAGGATTTTTACAAAGGTATAGAAGATCCCGCGATGCAAATGATGATCATGCTTCTGCCGAATATTGCTGAACGGATGGATTGTTATGAGAGTTTGCTTGACTTTGGCGCCGGACCAACAGTACACGTTGCTGTTGTTTTTAGGAATAAAGTGAATAATGTAAATAATCTTCTTAATTTTTTAAAATTGAATAATAATTCAAATTTATGAGTACATTTACTGAAGTTGAAAATCTGTTACTATGTTAATTGATTTTAAATTTTGAACCAAAATGCTAGATAAGAAGCAACAAGAAATTGTTATTAAAAGTGCTTACTTTTAGTTAAATTTAGTACAAAATTAAGAAAGTGAAAGTAAATGATTGATGACAAATTCGTAAAAGTAAAAAGTGAGGTGCATTTTAGCAGTAAAATAGTGCCAATAGAAAAAAGTGATTGATGGCAACAGCAAAAGTAGTTCTGATTGCTTGTCAATTACTTACGGATTTGATGAATCAACCAAAATGTTATACTTTTTTTGCTCGTAAATTTACAATATCTCACGTAAAAAAAATCACTGCTACTTTACATAATCTCACGTTAAAATAATCACTGTTATTTTATATCACTACCATTACTGACGTTATTTTTAACGTGAAAGTTAGTAGTTCTCATTTAAATAAGCCAAAATGCTATACTTTTTCCTGAGTATTTTGCGTAAATAATTTAAAATTACTAAATAAAAAGGTATAAAATTTAAAAAATTTCGAAGCTATAAGAATTTATTTGATTTTGATATTATTTATCAATTTTGAAGTATCAATGTTTATTTTAAAGTAATTGCGGAAAAGCACTATAGCCGGAAATAATTATTCGTAAAAAATGTACTGTAACTAAAGTTTACAGTTTTGTTTGAGTAAAAATTAAGATTTCAAATAAATAGTTGGATCAGTTCAATAATTACCTGTATTAAAGTAGAGAATGCTCTTTAAACTTAAAATATGGTGCAGTGCATTTCTGTTGCAGATTTGGAATAAAAGGAAGTTAAAATAGATGATAACAAATTTTATGATAATGTGCTTTTAGATATATTTAGCTGATTACTTACCTCAAAACCGCAATGAATTAATGCTATGGAGGGATGGTACAAATTCATTTGACTGGACTCCGGTACTGAAAATGATTGCTACTGTAGAAGGTGTAGGTTGGTTACACCTCAAAGAAATAGAACAACGAACAAAATCTAAAGTTAGTCAAGTATTGGGTTTTTTTTTTTCAAATTTATGTAAATTTATTAAAAAGATTTTTTGTAGTTTTAACTGATTAAATTGGAAGAATCTTGAAACAAAGTCATTTTTTAATTAGGTTTTATTTATTCAGATACGTTCAGTCTTTCATTGCGATTGCCATGTGGAACCATCGATATCTGCTCCTAAAATTCTGCAAAATAACTTTGATGTGAGTTGAAATGAGCTTAAAGTTTGATCTTTTCTATCAATAAACAGCTACCTAGTGGGATTGAATTAACTTTAATGGAATTAAATTAAATCTAAAATCAAAATACTTTGCAATTTTACCGTTATTACTCTTCAGTCGTAAAAAATAATTATAACTGTTATTTAATAAGAATTTTTTAAAGCAAATGACTGGTAAACTTATAAAATCCAAATCCAATACAGTTGTTGTATTTTAAATTTACTCTACTTCCAGTTTTATTAATATTTCAGATAGTTGTAACCATGCTATGCTTAGAATATTGCTGTAAAGATGCTAAACAATATAAGGAAGCAGTACGAAACGTTTCAGCTCAAGTAAGACCTGAAGGTTAAATGCTTTTTACTTTTTTGTATTATATATTAATCGCAATTAAATCTTTAAAAGATTCATTGAATGCAACTTTTATTTCTTCAACTTGTAATTTTTCTTTTTCTTAAATTACGCCAATTTCTATTACGTAGGTCTTATTAGATAAAAACTTCTAGCAAAACTATTCGAAAATAATTGCATAATTAAATAACTTCGAATAATTAAACTGTGAAAGAGTAAAACTGTATTTTTTATCCTCCAAAACTTTTTTGATTATCATGAAATTTGCAATAGTAAAATAAGAAAGGTTTCTAATGTAATAGACTTTACGTTTCTGCTCGAAATTAATTATTTGCTACATAAATTTCGTTCACTGAATCCATCAATCGGTATCAAAAGTGAACTTCACGTATTTTCGGCCACTTGCTCGCTACTCTCAATATTTATTACGTTAGACGTTGCACACTAATATACTTTACAACTAGAATAGTATTTTTTTTTTCTGGAAGGATCTGTTTGGTTATAATAAATTTCATTAATCCACAGTATAAAAAAGTATGCGCAAAACATGCTTTCAATCTTACATTCATCAAAAAATACCACGCTGATTTCAATAAGTATAAACAATCCGAACTTTTTGGAAATGCAAAATATAACTTAGTTTTATCTGAGGCACACATGTTTTCAAAACTTAACTACAAGCATTATAATCAATCATAACTTTTGAACTAACAGTTTCTCGTTAAATTCAAAGAAGTAATTAAAAAGTCGTAGATTTTTTTCTTGCAGAAATTTAAAGAAATTATACTTTTCACTCTCAAAAATCAAACATAAAGTAGTAAACTAATATCAGCATCACTTTAATGTAATTCTAATTCCTGGATTAAAATATATTTATAGGATGGTTTGTGATGGGTGGCGTATTAGAAGAAAATTGGTACTCATTTGGCGGTCATAAATATGCCTGCTTTTACCTTACTGAAAGAGTGCTTTTCGAAGCGTTACGTGAAGCGAACTTATTAGTTGATGACCCACAATCTCTGACTTATTACTGTTCTGAAGGTGTTTTCTTAATTTGTTGCAAAAAGAAAACAAACAATATCTGAAACCATAACATGATACCAAACTTTATTGCTGTTCCAATTTTGTTAAAAAAACAATAAATAAATTAGATTTGAACCTACCTAGATGATAGTCTGCACTCCGTTATGCTTATATCAACCATTTACAGTAACACCTCCCATAATAAGTACATGTAAATTGCGTAATCACTTACAACTAGTTAAAGTATAATCATGAATGAGCAGACGCTCCTAACTGTAATAAATTTATCAGAATATCGTGAAAATATCAATTTCGTAAAGACTAAGATTAAGAACAAGTGTAAGATCATGTGCCTTAAATTTTAATTGAATATTACGACACATGGTGAGAATAAACCATCTTTCTTCACGAAACCAAAATGCTTAGAAATTATGAAGCCACCGGATCATACAAAAGGTGAGAAATTAATGGATTTCTGCAAACATCTGAAACTATTTACCTCCTGTACGCAAGAATCAGACACTACTAATTCAATTAATAATCATGTTATGGTAATTCACCGAGTATATATATTGTTTCTAACAAGCATTTTACTTTCATTACCTTTACACGAACCTAATAAATTTTGTTTGATGTTTGAAACTGCGAATTTATCCATAAAGATGACATTGAGTAGTTCTATACACAGTGTATATTTACAATACATACAATTTGATTGAATAAAATATGATAACAGGATGTTCTTCGTAATTACATTAAAAGACAAAAATTCAGAAATGCTTTTCAGCTATACGCATCATTAAGATACCAAAGCAGAATGTTTTGTGAATTTATGATTTCATCAACACTTGACTTTGAAGATCGCATAGCGTCGTGCAAACGATAAAGACTAAACTCTACTGGGCCAACACGCTGTCGCAATTTCCCAGCTGCCATTAAGTAAGCTATACAATGCTGCTTGGAACGCCTAGCATTTCGTCGCAGAAGTTCGATCTTAAGCAGTGAAAACTCTATAAACTGACAAGCCTGAAACATTATTCCTCCTTCTAGCTTTAGTTAGAAAATAAAAACAAATGCATCGAAAATGAAATAATGAAATACAGACAATATTTTGTGAACGAAAATGTTAGATATTCTCACTCAAGACAATTTAAACAAAGACCGCAAATCTAAAAATCGGATAAGAAAATGAAGCACAGCTTTAACTCTTTCCAGCGAACTATTTACAATGTTTTACATTCAGTGAGTGACACCAAAGAGTAAGTAGAATTTCTAAAATTCTAATTACATGCAACTGCAGTTATCTGGCTGAAATTTTATAGCCGCGAACCTGTCTCTAACTTACCATTTCGAATAGTGAAACAACACATTCGTTTTGTAAGATATTCTCAGGAAAACGTCGTTTCAGTATCATGCACAAATGCCGAAGTTTATTTCTTTCACGATCTTTCCGATACTTTCTGCACTTAATGAATATTTTCAATGATATTCCCGCAAACAATTTGTTAGGAATATCGAAGAACTCTGGTTCCTGAATATAAAGATTCTTAAGTTAAACAATCAATTTCGCACAAACAACAAAGCCATTTCCTACTATTAACACTTGCATTCAAAAATACATTTTTTCGACATACAAAACTTATATTTCAAATGCTTGATAAAACCACATTTCCGAAAAAAAAAAAAGGCAATACTATAATAGTAACATACAACTACTGCATACTCGTCCATGAAAAAATTGATATCATACATCACCATTTTCAGAATAAAAATGATACAATCCAAGAAAAAAATTAGACTCACCTCAAAATTATTAGCAGTGCAGAGACTATGATCCTCACTAGCCCACTTTCTACCACATATATAGCAAAAAATTGAACCACAAACGCATACCATTACATTACATCCTTCAGATCTTTCATACAAGTTTTTACAATCTGGACATTTTTTTACAACTACCTCGTGATTTAAAGCGTAAGGATTATTGACATTCAATGATTCTGCAAATTATGCAACAAAAAAAACATTTATGGTAACTTATTAAAATATTTTTTAAGACTTCAACGTCAAAAAGTAGACATAGGAGCTAGTTGAAAAATTCTCAATCAATCAAACAATGTAATTATATTATAAAGTACTAAGCGACGATAGAATGCTTTGAACATGAAGAATATGAATCTTAACTACGATGAAAAGTGCTCAAAGTAATAC